ACCCCTAATTGTTTGTGGAAGCTTTAAATAATAACTTCCCCAAACGGTAGGCGTGCACAGAAACAGAAGTCCACTTTTGTCATTCTCGATGCATACGGAAAATAATGAGAGAGGAACTACTGAAATGGCACCTATGTGGCAGTGTTTATTGAATAAATGCCCACGGAACCAAACACCCTCCTAGTCTCACCGAGCTAGTCTTGCATCACAAACCAACAAGGTGACTTAGGCATACCCATTACGCCAAAACCCTTATTCAATTAATTAACTAATTAAAGGGAAATTAAATAAAGCAACAAATAATTATAGCAAACAGAAAATAAAAGAATTAATTATGCTAAAAAATATTAACAACTACAAAAATAAATTCTAACAAGAAAAATCACTACTTAAAGGATTAAACAGAAAAATAAAAAAAAAAGAATATGTGGCAATAAAAGAGAATAAAATAAAATAAATGAAGTGTGTTTCTAATCTGAAAAAAAAAATAGAACCTAATAATCCTAAATAGAAATTCGCTCAATAAATTAAAAGAAAAAAATAGATCTAAGAACAAAGTGAAAGAAAAATAATAATATAAATCGAATCTATATAAAAAAAATTAACTAAAAATTCGAAAATCACTATTTTACCAAGAAAAAAAAGAATTCAAAAATATAAAAAAAATAAACAAAAATAAAATGGGACGACTACACCTGAAACGCATCCAATTTCTCTTCTCTTCTCTTTTTCTTCCGTAGTTTGGCAATGCTCCAGTAACCCACCTTTTGCTATTACGTCATGCAAAATCAAAGAGAAATAAGAATTAAAATGAGATTACAAATCAAGTAATCAAACGAAAATAAAAAAATAATGAAACAGATCCGGACAAAGCAAATAAAAAATTTTCTCCGTTGTGTTCCCCAACAACGGTGCCAAAAACTTGGTGTCTCCGGAAGCGTGTTGTTAACCACTCCACAACACCTGTTTCAATATTTATAAGTTTACCGATTCTCAAAACAACTACGAAACACAGTTAGTGGTGATAATGGTCGTATCCACTAGGAAGCGAGGGAAAAATCATTGCATACTTCAATCGGGACAAAATAACACGGTTGGAGATTGTAGAAACACAAAATTTAATTAATTAAWCTGGAATCCATTAAAATAAAACTTTAACAATGTTTAGAGTGAAACTTGCAAAAAGATAAACAAATGACAGAAATAATTAAATAAAAAAACTAAATAGAAAGTTTGCAACTCGGTCAGAGGTAGCAATCTCCAGATCAATCATTTGACCCTCGAACTCTTCGAGCTAGGCCTTTCGTCTTACCTGGCCGGATTTCAGATCTGCAGAAAGGAAGGTCAAAATTAAACTAGATAAATGTAAATTGCAGAAATAAAAATAAGGACTGGAAATTAAAGAGTGGAAAGTAAATCTAAAACTAATGGAAAATTGGTTGGGATCTGAATCCAGAGGTGGCAGTAGTGGTTGGCAAAATGCAAGCAGGAACCCCTCTTCTTGCCTGGGCGTTCTTCTCTTGCTCTACCCTTGTACTTCTTAAGAATAACCTTTCGTCTTACCTGGGGGCAGAATCCAACTCCTTCATAGGAACTCTTGGGTCCTTTTTATAGAGAAGGGTGGATAAAACAAGAATTAGAGAGAAAGAGGGGGGCGACAATTGGGTTTTAGCAAAAATATGGGTGCCCTAGGGTTTAGAATGGAGGTATAGGATTGTTCTAAGGTGATCCTAAGGCTGAGAAGAGAAGGAGAGGGCGTCCAATATTATGTAGGGCTGAGATTTGGGCGCCCATAATTGGATGGTGGAGATTTAGGTGCCTAGGGCTGAAAGGTGGAGATTAAAAGGAGTGGGTGGCACCCTAGGTTGAATGGCCAAGATAGAGAGTGAAATAGAGGGCTAAGATCTAGTGGCTAAATGCTGAGTGGTGAGGATTAGCAGTTAGGTGGCACCCTAGTGTTAGAATGCACTCAAAATAGGGTGCCTTAGAATGGAGGGTGGAGATTAGATGTTAAGAAGGGATGGAAGGTGAGGATTTAGCAGTTAGGTGTATCTAGGGTTTGTTAGGGAGAGAGGAGTATGCTAATACAGTAGGAGGGGCACCATTCTAGGTTTAGCAGATAGGAGGCACCCTCTTGTACTCAGTTTTTCACAAAAACACCCCATCTCTACTGGAATTCACACCTGTTTCCCGAAAACTGCATTTCAGCCTTGAAACTTCCCTACTTTTCCCCAAGATTTGCACAAAGATCCTCAAAGGTCACAATATTGAATTTAACTGGGAAAATGAGACATTTTGACTATTCTAAGGCCTAAAATACCCCTGAAGTGATGCCCTTAAGGCATTCAACTATAAAGTTATCAGTCAACACCAGATTTTTGCTCGGTCCACTGCTCCAATTTACCCCAAACACCCGATCAGACCCTCTCGATTTCTCCAAAATATCCAAAAACCTAGAAACCCCAACTTTTAGCCCGAAAGCCTCTAAATCCATTGTTAAACACATCCGATACCAATCCAATGGCCCCTGATGAACCCCTATCTACACTTTTACCCTCATATCAAACACCACCATCAGACTCAAGACCTCTCAAACAAAGATTCCATATTGACTCCTTTTGTCATCCTAAAACACCCACAGCCTAGATTCCCTTGATCTTAACACATCTGAACTGATCAAACCACACCCATTAAGCTCCGGTAAGGAGGGGGAAAGCCGACAGAGCCGATGATGAGGTTCCATGAAACTGGCTTCGGTAAGCTCTGCATTCTCACTCAATCCCATCATAGTTTTGCTTCATGTGTTGCCATTATCTTATAGGTTTGTTCTAAATGACTAGCTCTGTAGAAACTTGAATGGTTGTTTTCCTTTGACTTGTGGAAATTTGTTCTTCTCTACTATTCTATATTGTTGAAAGGTTAGATTCTTATTAGGTTAAATGTGATGGAACCTCTAGGTCTATTAATTTGTTTCCTACTATATTATCTCTAAATGTTGGTTAGCCTAGGTTATGGTTTCTCGGCTATTTAAATTTAGGTTGAGTGATCATTTGAAGTGATGCTAGAAATAAATATAATTATAAAAAAGTAATAAAAATAATAATAATAATGATGATGATGATGATGATGATGATGATGATAAAAGATAAGAAAAATAGAAGGTTGAAAATGTGATGATGGCTTTTAGGATCAATAGATTATGAAAAAGGGAATAAGCTACTAAGAGGGGGAATAGTAACTAAAACTAAAAATAATAATAATAAAAATAAAAAATAGAAAGGAAAGAAAGAAAAAATGAAAAATAAAAATAAAAAATACAAAATACAAAAGATTAAAAAAATAGAAAATAGAAAATAAGAAAAAGAAAAAAAATAAATAGTCCCATAAAATAAACATACAAATAGGGTTTCATGAGATCATAACTAAAAACAATAAATACTTGATGAAAACAAAAAATAATAAACAAAATAAAAAAGAAATAAGGGAAAAATTAAATAAGAAAAATAAAAAACATAATTTAACAAAGGTTAATAAATGTAAACATATTTAAAAAACAAAAATAAAAAATATAGATAAATAAAAATAAGGATTTTTTCTTGGCTTGTTCTTGTGATTTGCTTTCTTATTCTTTTACCTTATTAGTTGTTTTCTTATGCTCATGCTTGTTTGGGATCACCATGTGGGCCTCACATATTAGACCCGAGAGAGGGGTGCCTGACACATTCCCTTCCCATCCGAGTCTTACCCGGACTGGTTTAAGTAGTGCCTCGGGCTCTGGAGTCACTGTTGAACAAAAAATGAATTTTGATGCGATTCCCAGAGGTCCCATCACCAACATTTCCTAATCTGATGGGTGGCAACTCCATTTCCAACTCAAGTAAGCCGTTTTTGGACGCTCACATTGTTGTTGTGTTGGTGATGTTGAAAGGAAGGCTACTATTGAGGTGGAGGCTTTCGCTTACAATATGGATAGCCATGCAAGTATTGCCAATGAAGCTTGCTAGACTGATCACTAATTGTTGGTTTTCTAGATAGATGGACGATTCGTTGAGGGCGTCGAATAGAAGCGTGCAAGATACACATCATTATTTCATTTTTTAATATTTCAAAATCAAGATTATAAAATAAAGGGAAAATTCCTGATAGGTACCCTGTACTTTGGCTCAAGTGCCAATTTAGTACCCGAACTTTAAAATGCGACAATCTAGTACTTGAACTTTTATTTTCTGACAATTTAGTACTCAATGTTAACTCATTGTCAATTAGAAGACAAAAAGACCTAAATACCCCTAAGCTATTTTGAATAATGCATGAACTCCCGATTGAAATTACGAAAATGACCCCATAAGCTATTTCGACCAATGCAAGTGGGAACCACTGTTCATACTTGCAGTTACAAAGATTCCGAAAACCAGCTCCCTCACGCTAGTGATGTCAAGCGAATGCGCTGCCGGAAAAGTTGAACTTGACGCTCGAACACGACGCCAGAAAAGTTGAAATCAAAGAATCCAATGCCGTTGCTAGAGAAGACTACTCCTGTTGCCGTGATGATTTTAGATTAGACTACAATATAGATTGACGGATCTCTGCAGTTTTATTTGTTGTCATGGAGCGGTGGATTAATACAATTACAATCTTGGAAAGAAGTTTCCCGTTAGATATAGACACAACCATCTAGTCATCCTCCTTCTCTTTCTTCACAACTTCACCTTTCCAATTAAACAAGCTGAAGAGCTTAGCAAAACTAGAGTTTGAATGCACCGGTGATCAACCTGTGATATCTTGAATAATTAAATATATAACTTAACCTCTCAGAACAAAAAAAAATGGAAGAACGCTCCCCACTCTCTCCTCCGAGTCCTAACCCGAAACACCCCACTGGCCACTCACCACATACCAGTATCCATGATTGTGGAACGGCGGCAAAAACTCTAATCGAAGAACCCTTTGCAACTCACACCGGTGGTTATCAATCCTCGGAACAAAGCAAATACGACCAATAACTGGCATAATGGAGATTGAAGATCTAGCAAGTTCATCTGATGGAATGTCTGATCTGGAAGTTACATCAAAAGAGTTGAATGATGAAGAACTTCAATATACATCTGGTTCTATCCCCAAATTGCAATTCAAGAAAGATACATCTAAGGCTCATTGGAATGCAGAGATGGGAATGGCTGGGGTTATTGAAAAGAAAGGCAAAATGTGGATAACAACAGGAATAGTTCGAAGAGGAAAGCTCTACTATACAATTGAAGAAACCTTGTTTTTGGCTGAAATATTGGCAGTGCATATGTTGGATGTTGATGATACAACACTTTTCCTGAAAGATTTATATGAGAAGGTTGCAGAAGGAAAGAGTGGGTGCTGTTGGGAGACTTTTGAGGTTTACAGACACCTAAAATCCCTTGGGTACATTGTTGGTCGGTATGTGTCCCTTGGACCATGAAGAGTAATAATGGTTGTAACTCTGCTCTTCAAGGAACAACAAAAACCAGTGCAGTTTCAGACACTGAATTGGTGAACAGGTTTTCCTTCATCAACCAACTTAAAACTTTGCAGATTAGTGATTTGAGACCGGATTTTGAAGTTTACCTTCCTAACAACAAGTTCAGAAAATCATCTCCTAGTGATCCAAGTTTTATGCTCTATGTAACTAGGGCTCATCCACCATCAAGAAATGAGATCGAAGAACTAGAGAGGAAGTGCAATGGCATTCCCTTAAAATTCTCTCATGTAGATCCTGGGCGAGTTAGTTTCTTTTCCATTAACAGAGTGGAGCTTCCAATCCTACCCTGACACGTACAAGTAGGTGAATTGGCAATAAATGGGTAGGGAGAGTTTGTTTGGATTGGGGATGCCCAGGTCTGGCTGTAATTTATAAAAGCTTTCTATTTTTTTTTTCTCGTGGGCTTCAATGAAGGAAGCTGTTGTAGTTAGACTTACAGGCCAGCTGCTTTTGTTTTGAGCGGTTTGGTGATCTTCTTAGTTAATGAAAAATTTTCCGTTGCTTAAGAAACATAGAATTACGATGTCCCAACACTTGGGAAACTACTCCCACCAAGGAAGCCCCTCGTCTAAAGACACTAAACTGTCCTCAGCTATAACAACTTGGCTGAAAGCATCCGGAAACTTAACCGACTCCGGCGCCTAGTCGGCAACGTCGTAGGGCTCCGATTTGACATCAGCCAAGATTATACCAATGTCTTTCTGACTATATCCTTCAAATGCACGGGAGTTTCTCCAGGAAACATGAAAGCCATGGTGATGCTTGAGAGAAATAAATCGAGCGTGGGATTCAATTTTCAAATGAGAGCAAGCAGTCTTCCGAGAGGTCGTACGAACACTGGATTTCTTGGTGTAGAGCGTCAAACGTTTTGGTACTCTAATGAGAGTGAGAATAAAAGATGCGAAATACTTTTTTTTTTTTTTTTATGAAGAAACTGGTTTGAATTTCGAATGGAGAAGATGTGGAACGCATTTTTTTGAGAAAGAAGATGATGAACGACATGTTTTATTTTTAAGGGTAATTTTGATATTTTCAAATGTCTTAAATCGCACATGAGGTCACATGATATAAATAACTGATGGTCCATTAATAGTAGGTACTAGATTGTTGCGTTTCGAAAGTTCATGTACTAGATTGTCGCATTTTAAAGTTCGGGACTAAATTGGCAGTCGAGCCCAAAGTACAGGGTACCTATCGGGAATTTTCCCTAAAATAAAAGTGAATAATATATGGATTTTGGAGTCTCTACACATATGGGATTTACGAAACATAGACTTCAAAACTCAGAGAAGGAATCCATGATGACATTAGGCTCGATTTGAAAGGAATACAAATACAAATATATATAGTGCAAATGCATATAAAATAATACAAAACACAAGGTTTTGTACTCTACAAATTTGTATTTGCACTCTTTCCAAATATAGCCTTATGGGTTTGTCACCAGTTCAGAGATGGGAAACATCTCTAAATCCTTCAACTCGACGTATACTTCTCTAATATATCGAATATCAAATAAAATCCTGATTTGGGGGAATCGGGGTCCTCTGACTTCTTCACCATAGCTGAAATCGTCAACCATGAGCTTAATTAATTTAAGGGTTTGAGCTTTTTATGAAGTCAACTTTCGACAATGGTGCACCTGATTCAGAACTTATGAGATCATCTAACATTGAGAAGAAAACTTGATAACTGGGATGGCTTCCATGGGCTTCAATGACTTCAGTGATGGAAGAGTTCAATGCTAGGATATTTCAGCTTTGCTTCAATCAATATTGAACAGGGGTACAAGTCGTGGCATCTTACAGATTTGAACGACAATGAAAAAAACATAGCATGGCGGACTAATTCAGTCTTCTCGACTCCCGCAAGAAGGAGAAGGAGAGAGAGATGGGAAGCACACCGTTTAATTTTATTGCACAAGTGAGCCGGGGCATCCGTACGAACTACAACGTATTCCAATCTCATTAGAAATGCACCTCAACACATCAAACGAGTGTAGAAATCCGGTCTCCACCAAAACCCACTAAACATTGGATTCGCCAATCACTAGAAAAAGCCACTATAGCCATTCACCAAGCCAGGCTACATTTTTCCCCTTGATACACCCAATACCCAATTTGCCTTTTGCTTGCGCACCTTTTCCCACTGATTTCATTTTTTGCCGCCCCTTTCATATTACTTCAATTTAAATCATTCTACTAGAAAATTGTCTTAAAATCTTAAATGTTGAAATTCTACTAAAATAAGTGGAGTTTCATAAAAGTTATTTTCAAACCATTTTGTTAAAATATTATCAATCATTTTTAATTCAATTTGTTAATCAATTATAATATTTTAATAATTTTTAATTCAAGTCATTAATAAATTATAATATTTTATTCGAATTTGACACTTGACATTTGATTTGATATTATTAATGAATCACTTTTTATTTTGGGTAAATTACAAAGACCCCCTCTAATGTGGGGCTAGGGACAATTACCCTCTTGAACTTTTATTTTGCGACAGAGACCCCCTTAAACTTTCACTTCGCAACAAATACTCCATTCATTAGGGTTCCATTAATTAACTTTAAAAAATATTTTCAATTAACTATTTAAAATTTTTTAACTCCCTAATTACCATTTTCTTAAGGATTTATGATTTGATTAGTTTTCTAAAGCCATCTTGGTTGTTGTAATAGATTCATGTAAATTTCTGTCTGGATTCAATATTCAAATGAAATGATAGAAGTTTCTTTCTAATAAATATAAATTTAAGGTTTGATTCGATTTTATTTAATCTCTGTCTCTCTCTCTCTCTTTAAAATTGGTTTGTCCATGTCATCATGTCTCTCATTTGAGAGAAGCTATTTATCTATTTTCTCCATATTTTGTATTTTTCTTATTTTCTTATTTTTTTTTAAATATAAAATAGTAATCATTGCTTATCTTGATTACATCAATAAAGCTGCACACTATAAGAGAGAGACATTTGGGTTTTGGCCTCTTATTTAAATGCATGTTATTATTACATTTAAAAGAGAGAGAATAGTAATAATATAAAGGGACAATAGCATATAAGGGCAACTTTTGGGGTTTAATATCAATAAAAGTAATATTTAAAAAAATTCAAAAATAGGTTAACTTTTTAAACATAATATCAATAAAGAGCAAAAACACTATTCCCCATCTTCTTCTTGCCATTTGTTCACCAGCGCCGCCACCCGCCACCGCCACCGCTGGTGGTCATTCCTCTACCACCACCTCTATCTCCACCCACCTCTGACAACATTGCCGAAGGAGGAGACGGAGGTGGGCGGAAGTGGCAGTGTTGGGCAGAGGAATGACCACCAGCTCCACCGCCGCCACCTCCAGTAATGTTTCCGGAAGCCGAGGAGGCGGCGGGCGGTAGCAGACGGCGGTGACAGGCGGCGTTGGTGAACAAATGGCAAGAAAAAGATGATGAACAGTGTTTTTGCCCTTTATTGATATTATTTTTAAAAATTTAACCTGTTTTTGAAATTTTTTTAAAAATATTGCTTTTATTGATATTAAACCCCAAAAGTTGCCCTTATATGCTTTTACCCCTAATATAAATAGGTTGAGGTTAAACAATAAAAAAATATTAATTTAAAAATCTACTCAACTTTCACTAAAAATAAATATTAACAAAACTTAGTAAATATTGAAAATGTGTTTCAATTCCACTTAAAAATCAAGCTTAATAAATGCTAATAAAAATAAGAAATTTAAATATAAAAATGTTAAGGGTAAATTTCTTAAACTACCCTTATGGCTTAGCTAATTGACTAAATGTACCCTTATTGTTTGAAAATTGACTTACACTACCCTTACTGTTTCTGACAATTGTCTAAACATTACTAGGATCGTTAGACATGACAGAAAAAATGTAAAATGACCGTTTTACATTTAAATTCAACTGGATGGAGCCACTAGAGAGATCGACGATGGCAATGGGGATTTGAGATAAAAGCTACTTGTTTTTTATCTGAAACCTAGATTAGAAACAATCTCTGGTGAGGAAGGGTAGCATCAGTCAATTTTCAAACAGTAAGGGTGCACTTAGTCAATTAGCTAAACCATAAGGGTAGTTTAAAAAATTTACCCAAATATTAATTGATAGCTTTAAACTTATTATTAAATAACTTATGAGTTGAGATCTTTATTGTGCATAATGAACTCATTAGAAATGATAAAAATTAATGAAAATTTAAAATATAGAACATGTTTCATTAACAATATTTTATTGCAAAAATTACTGAATAAAAATGAAAAATACCAATAATTAATTAAAAATCCAAAAAATTCTAAAAAACCTTAACATAATTAAAATATTAAAAATAATTAAAAAATATTGAAAATTAACAATATTTTATATTAATAAGGGTATTTACTAAAAATAATTAAAAAGTACAATTAATAGTATTTTATTATTAAAAAATATCAAAAATTATTAAAAAATAGCGAAGCCAAAAATTATTGAAAATTAGCTGTATTTTTTATTAGCTATGGTATTTATTTTGTTATTTAATTTATTTTTACTAAAAGCAAATGCAAATTAATTTTGTAGTGACTAATATGCAAAAATAAATGCTGAAAATACTGAATTATTGAAAAATACTCATATGCAAAAGTTAGCAAATAATAATGAAAAAACACCAAAAATTCTGAAAAACCTAAAGCTTAATTAAAAAATCAAATTAATTATATTTTATTACAAAAAATACCGAATAATAATGAAAAAAATGAGGCGTTTTAATTATTAATAGTAATACAATTAACAACAACTATTTTTAAACTACAATTAACAATAATTATAATTTAAGCTATAAATAGTAGAAAATTACATTTAATTAGTTTTAGCCAAGAAATTGCAATATGTCTGAAAATATGATATTTTCCAAAAATTATTGTATTTTAAATAAATACAGTAATTTTATAATTACTGATGTAACCGTTTCTAGTCACGTACCAATTTTTTGTGGTGTATCCATTTATTTGGCTAAGTACCTCGTCATTTGACCTGGTGGTGAAGTGACTTGGTGATGAGCTACTTGGTGGCGAACTCCCTGGTGGAGAACTACCTGGTGGCGAGCTCCCTGGTGGAGAGCTGCTTGGTGGCGAACTCCCTGGTGGAGAACTGCCTGGTGGCGAACTCCCTGGTGGAGAACTGCCTGGTGGCGAACTCCCTGGTGGAGAGCTGCTTGGTGGACTCGTCATTTGACCTGCTCCTAGGTTGCCTGCAACTCAGAGAATGGTGGAGCTCCCTGGTGCAGCGCAACCCGACTATCCTCAGCATGAGGTGATCTCCTCTCCTTTGTAGGCGGTGAGAGCTGAGGGACCTGCGAGAACTAAATCAGAGGACCCGGGGGTGTTTACTCGGCAGGGACTCTCCAATGCCTAAGTTAGCATTCTCATTATAGAGAGCTTGGAGAGAAATGAGAGAGCTAGAGAGCAGGGGTTACCATCCTTTTTTCCTCCTCCCTCCCCTTTGGGGGGTGAGGTCTTTATATACTGGAGTCCTCGCGGGTTAGGTGGGTGAAAAGCATTCAAAAAGTAAGACTCGTCACATCCTGTCAGAATCGGGGCACAGTGGTGAACTCCTCGAGGTTGTCAGGCGGCCAGGTCGGCGCCTGGGCCAGGTTGTCAGGTCGGCGCCTGTGTCAGTTGGCGGGTCGGTGTCTGGGCCAGGTTGTTAGGTCAGGAGATCTTCCTGCGATACGCCAAACTACTCTTCTGTACCGAGCTGCCCTACAAGTGGCGAGCTGCCCGGTGGAGCTATGCCGAGCTCCTTGGGCTATGCCGAGCTGCTTGGGGCGAGCTCTGCCGAGCTGCCTGTCTCCTTGGCGAGCTCTTTGGTGAGCTACCGAGTTCTTTGGCGAGCTCCTTGGTGAGCTACCGAGCTCGTGGGGTATGCATGCCGAGTTTTATTGGTGGGCGTCTTATGGGCGGTTAGGTCGGCCAGGTCGGATCATGTGTCAGGCTGGTCCAGGTCGGCCAGGTCGCGCAGGCTGCGTACAGGCCACCCGTAGGCCGCGTGCAGGTCGCGCTAGGCCGGCCAGGCCGGTGCCCGAGTGGGACACCAACTTGGTAAGTTGTTGCCTGGGTGTTGCCTAGTTGTCACGAGGTGCCACGTGTCGCAATTTCATTGGAGGGCCAAATCTGCCCTCATCAATTACAATATTTTAATAGCTAACAATATTTTAATAATTAATAAAAAGTAACAAATCCCTTATAACTTAAGTAATTATTATATCTATAAATTTATAGGCTCAAGCAACTATTTTCTTTTGAGTTAGGTCTAGCTGAGATATGCACCATGCCTACACTTTATCAGGGATAATAAGATTCAAAGTCTAATTGGGTATCAAACTTTTGGAGTTCAATGATGGCTTTAGCTAGGGGTGTCCATGAGAAACCAAAAAATTGAATCGAACCGAACTGGAAAATGCGGTTAACCGAACTGACCGGTATATATATTTATATGTATATTTTAAATACATCTTTAATATATGTCACATGTTTACTATATACTATATATAAATATATATTCATTATATATATAAATATATACATATATTATATTTATAAATATAATATATTATATATCATTTATTATTTATAATATAATACTATACATATATTTATATAATATATTATAAATATAAAAAACTAAATAGCCAAAGAACCGAATCAGTCAAAAACCAAAACCGACGGACCGGTTAAGCGGTTCGATTTACAAAAATTGTCCATGGTTTGGTTAACCGAACTGTGGACACCCCTAGCTTTAGCGGATAGGGCCCAAGCTAAATAACCCCTAATAAGCTAAATTTGGAAGTTATATGCTTATATGGTAAATATTATTATATAATATTTAAATAACAAATTTTATATTAATATATAGAAATGTTATATATTTTTTTATACTAGACTAGAATTAAATAAAAAATTTAATTTGTAAAAAATCATAGTTTTATAATTAACACGAGCCTCTTTATCAACAGAAAATGTGCAAGCCCGAGTCCGAGCCTGGCCAAACCATCAAGCCTAGATATTGAGCCCAAGCCCAACCCTTATATAAAGCATGAAGCTTGAGCTTAAGCTTAAAACCCGATCTGTACATGTCTTATTTTTAGTATACTTTTATAAAGTAATATGATATTAATTTAGTAATAATTTAATAAATTAATAAACTAATTTATATTTCATAATAGTAAATTGATATTTATTAATAATTAAGAAGCATATATATATATTATTTATTATATATAACATAAGTACTTTTTTATATATGTAATAGCATTGGGCCGTGCTTATTTGAGAAAGCTCGAGCTCGAGCCTACGGGCCTGAAATTTTGTCCAAGCCTGGAAAATAATGGGTCAGGCCAAGCCAGGCCGTAGGGTAACCCGGCCCATGAATATGTCTAATTGTATATTTAAACAATTGTATACATAAAAAATCATATGAAATAAAAATTTAAACATCTTTTTTAATTTTTTAAAAAAATGGACCTCTCATAGCTTGGCCTTTTCCATGGTCGTGCCTGTGTTGTGTCGTGGGTTGTGCCAAACCGACACTTCAAATTATCTCAAGGGAGGGAAGCACAACCCAAGACGCCCCGTGGGCCTTCATGGCACAGCCCGCACTTTGTGCGGGCCACATGCGGGTTGTGTTGTGCGGGCCTAGCATGGCCCGATTTATACCTCTACTTGAACTCGCTCAATACTGGGGACGGGGCTGGGAAATTCGAGGATTCCCCGTCCTTGATGAGGAGTGGGGTGCCTTGCCCCTAAACTCGCCTGGCATTGGGGTGTGGTTGTGTTGCCCCGAACCCGCCTGACAATGGGGATGGAGTAGAGTGTTTTGACTATGGGGCAGGGATCGGGATGGGGTGCCTCGCCTTGAACCCACCCCCTTGTCATTCCTATATAATTATTAATTATTAGTGAAATTAATAAAATGTTTGCTTTTTGTAATTATTTTTATTTATTTAAAATTAATCAAAATTTCATTTAAAAATAATAAAAATAATACAAATTATTAAAATTACTACAAATTATTTGTAAAACAAGATCTGGATTAGTCTTTGAGTTCATAAAAAATGGAAATTAGAAAGTGAGAGCTTTAGTTTCTAAAAGGTGAGAACTCAACTTTTTGGAAGAAGAGGACTTAGCCTTTCAGAAGATGAGAACTTAGCTTTTTGTAGCGTTTCCAATAGACGACGCCAATTGATGAACCAATTTTTGGCTAAGTACTTCGTCATTTGGTCTGCTTCCAAGTGGCCGACGACAGAGGCCGAAGTGGAGAACTTTTGTTGGATGAGGACCTGGATGCCGAGCTGGGGGTAGATTAGGTGCCGAGCTGGGCAGGTTAGGTGCCGAACTGACTAGGCTGAGCTGGGCAGGTTAGGCGCCGAATTGACTGGGCCGAGCTAGGTAGGTTAGGTGTCGAACTGACTGCTCCCTGCTGGAGGATGATCTAGCTTCTAGTCGGACGACGAGTTAGATGGATCTACAAAACAAGATCAGAGAACCTGGGGTGGCTAGCCCGGTGAGGTCGCTCCGATGCTTAAGTTAGTAATTTGATGCGAGCTGAATAACTTTGAGAGTGTAGAGAGCTAGAGAGCAGAAAAATCACGCGTACCCTGTTTCATTAGGGTTAGTGCCTTTATATAGGCATTGTGGCGTAGGCTTCACGCACCACATCTGAGATTCCGGGAGGTCGTGCCTTACCGGTCCGAAATCCTCGGAGGTAACCGCTATGCACGTTGATCATCCTCCGGAACATTCAGTTTGTGTGCCAACTTCTGAGAAACCTGGGACACCATCATCTTGGCTAAGGCAAGTTGTTGCCTAAGTGGTTCCGGATGTCACCTAGTTGTTCCGAGATGCCATGTGCCACAATGCCATTGGGGGGCCAAATCCGCCCTCATCAATTTTTATTTATTTAAAGTTAATCAAAATTTCATTTAAAAATAATAAAAATTATACCAATTATTAAAATTACTACAAATTATTTGTAAAATTAAATTTATTAAAAAATGTTTATTCATATTAAATTAATAATAATTATTTTCTATAAATCAACATTAAATAAAAAATATAATTATTAAAGTTTTAAATATTAATAATAAATTTGAATACTTTTACTTAATTAATAATAAATTTTGAATATTAATTTAATATTAATTAATAATAAATAAAATTATTGAATCTTTTAGATTTTCTGTGCATCACATGAATCCCTTTTAATTTATTAAAAAGAATGGATAAAATCAGCCCGGATCAGAATTTTATAGTTCTAATAGTGGGGAAATACATCTGACCATGAATTGATACCAAATTCACGGATAGGATGTGGTTTATAGGGGGAGAGGGCTGGTACTAGGGGGCTGGAATTCAGAATTCTGCATCGTATGTATCCGTACTTATCCGTAATTTTTATATGAACATGTCAGTGAAACGAACCTATGTAAGTTAAATACTTGTTGTTATTTTTAATTTTTTATTGTAAAGTGAAATTTCAGGAGATAATTGTCACTGGTTCTTTTGGTTCTAGACAATTAGGCATGTTCGTGCCCATTCGTTCCGTTTGCAGCTTTTCCTGTTGATTCGGGAGAGATCGCCATTCGTGCATTCGGGTAATCCCATTACAGTTACAGCGACCGTTTTGATTAGACGGCCTTAGTGTGTCTCGTTGGGTCGTTTGCTTGACGTCCGTAACGAGAGCAGTTGGAGTCCGTCATCTCATCGGCTGATTAGTGTCTACTTCCATCCACGAAAAAGTGGCACGCAAAGAACTTTCTGGATTGCCACAGCTGGTGGAACCTTCTGGATTTTAAACATGAAAAATCGTAGTTTAAGCTTCTGGCAAAAAGGAGATGTAAAAATCAATCAAAAGCCATGAAATAGCAAAATAGAAGATTCTGGAAGGCGGGAAACGAGACTTTCCATCCACTCTCCTCGCAAGCTCATCGGAAGAAGAAGAACCCAGAAACTCTCAGTTAGGAATATAAATACTTTTCCCTTGTGCTTTCTTTGCCCCCAGCTTGATCGAAATCAATTTCTCTGCGCATTCTTGCGAGCGAAACCCTAGCTTCTTCTTCTCTCTTGATCGACGAGTTCTGTTTGTAATTGTCCGGGTTTAAGTTCCGTTGGCGGAGCCATGGCGGATGTCCAGATGGGCGATGCGGAGACTTTCGCATTCCAGGCCGAGATCAACCAGCTTCTCAGCCTGATCATCAATACATTCTACAGCAACAAAGAGATCTTTCTTCGAGAACTCATTAGCAATGCTTCTGATGTGAGTACATGGCTTCTTTCTTCGAACTTAGTTGCTACAAATTGTTTTTTTTTTTTTGGTTTATAGTTCTGATTGCTAATGTGTTTGCTCGGTGCAGGCGTTGGATAAGATCCGTTTCGAAAGTTTGACGGACAAGAGCAAGCTTGATGCGCAGCCAGAGCTCTTCATTAGGCTTGTCCCTGACAAGGCTAACAAGACTCTTTCGATCATTGACAGTGGTATTGGGATGACCAAAGCAGGTAGGGAGGAGAGGAGTTCACAAATATGGTTAACTCTAGAGGTTGATTTTGGCTTTTATATTGGTTCTAAATAACCTAAATCGTTCGTTACGGCAGATCTGGTCAACAATCTGGGGACAATTGCGAGGTCCGGAACCAAAGAATTCATGGAGGCATTGCAAGCAGGGGCTGATGTGAGTATGATTGGACAGTTTGGTGTGGGGTTCTACTCGGCGTATCTCGTTGCGGAGAAGGTTATAGTGACCACCAAGCATAACGATGACGAGCAGTACATTTGGGAGTCACAAGCGGGTGGTTCCTTCACCGTCACCAGGGATGTTAACGGAGAGCAACTGGGCAGGGGAACTAAGATCACCCTCTTCCTCAAGGAAGACCAGGTAGGTGTCTAGTCAAGAGATGATCAAATTATTCTCGAATCGAGTGATGAATTAGGGAACATTAATTTGTTGGGTCGTCTCTGGCTACACAAGTTAAAATAAAATTTGGTTGTATCCTTTTGCAGTTGGAGTACTTGGAAGAGAGGAGGTTGAAGGACCTCGTTAAGAAGCACTCTGAATTTATCAGCTACCCCATCTATCTCTGGACGGAGAAGACTACCGAGAAGGAGATCAGCGACGATGAAGACGAGGAAACCAAAAAAGAAGAGGAAGGGGATGTCGAAGATGTTGACGAGGAGAAAGAGACCAAGTCTAAGAAGAAGAAGGTTAAGGAGGTGTCCCACGAGTGGCAGTTGATCAACAAGCAGAAGCCCATCTGGCTGCGCAAGCCGGAGGAGATCACCAAGGATGAATACGCTTCCTTCTACAAAAGCCTGACCAACGACTGGGAGGACCACCTTTCTGTCAAGCACTTCTCTGTTGAGGGGCAGCTCGAGTTCAAGGCCATTCTCTTCGTCCCCAAGAGAGCCCCGTTCGACCTCTTTGACACGAGGAAGAAGATGAACAATATTAAGCTCTACGTCCGCAGGGTTTTCATCATGGACAATTGCGAGGAACTCATCCCCGAGTACCTCGGATTTGTGAAGGGTGTTGTCGATTCTGACGATCTGCCACTCAACATCTCTCGTGAAATGCTTCAACAAAACAAGATTCTTAAGGTCATCAGGAAGAATCTGGTGAAGAAGTGCGTCGAAATGTTCACCGAGATAGCAGAGAACAAAGACGACTATGCCAAGTTCTACGAGGCATTCTCCAAGAACTTGAAGTTGGGTATCCATGAGGACAGCCAAAACAGGGCAAAGCTAGCTGATCTGCTCAGGTACCACTCTACAAAGAGTGGTGAAGAGATGACGAGCCTGAAGGACTACGTGACCAGAATGAAGGAGGGTCAGAAGGATATCTATTACATTACCGGTGAGAGCAAGAAAGCCGTTGAGAACTCTCCCTTCTTGGAGCGCCTCAAGAAGAAGGGGTATGAAGTGCTGTTCATGGTTGATGCCATTGATGAGTATGCAGTTGGGCAGTTGAAGGAGTATGATGGAAAGAAGCTCGTTTCGGCCACCAAGGAAGGGTTGAAACTTGACGATGAATCGGAGGAAGAAAAGAAGAAGAAAGAGGAGAAAAAGAAGTCGTTTGAGAACCTCTGCAAGACTATCAAGGAGATTTTGGGAGATAAGGTGGAGAAGGTTGTAGTATCAGACAGGATCGTCGATTCGCCCTGCTGCTTGGTTACAGGCGAGTATGGATGGACAGCGAACATGGAGAGGATCATGAAGGCACAAGCATTGAGGGACAGCAGCATGAGCTCTTACATGTCCAGCAAGAAAACAATGGAGATAAACCCCGATAATGGCATCATGGAGGAGCTGAGAAAGAGGGCTGAGGCTGACAAAAACGACAAGTCGGTCAAAGATCTTGTGCTTTTGCTCTTTGAAACCGCTCTGCTGACTTCCGGGTTCAGCCTCGACGATCCAAACACCTTTGCTTCGAGAATTCACAGGATGCTGAAATTGGGTCTGAGTATTGATGAGGAGGAGACAGGAGCAGATGACACTGATATGCCGCCACTGGAGGAGGATGGAAACGAGGAGAGCAAGATGGAGGAAGTCGATTAGGCCTCTTTACGACATGACTTGTGGATATGCGGGTGTGATTTTTCTATAAAAGCAAGCAATAGAGGTGTGGGTTCAGAGAGCAATAGGGTATACAACATCCTGTTAATGCAGTGGTTCTCTGTTTTTTGGGTCTAATTCGGGTCTTCTCTGTCTGTGACTTTTTTGTTCACTTGTTAAACCCCAAAGTCCAAACTTCTATTTTATATATAGTTTTCCGTTGATACAGATTTCTGGACTTCCTTGCATCCTCCCTATCGTAATCTTGCTTAGTAAGACGGGCATATTTATGGTTTCTTGTTCACCACACGTTTATTGATGAAGCCCTTGAAGAGAGAATCTTAGATGCTTTTAAGTTTACAGAGGGCTTGTAAACTTGCATTGCATGCAGGAGGATGGCCGTTGCAACTTGCAAGTGTGTAACTGTGTAAGTAGAACCATAATGTTACTATGGTTGGCGATTTACAATGGTGGTTGGGTGACGACAAGACAACGACTCTTCTGATAAGCTTTTTATGTTTGAGTTGTGGGAAAGTAGCCCGTCTTCTGACAAGTGTGTAACTGGTGAGGAAAGTAGCCTACTTCAATTTATGTTTGAGTTGTGGGACCTGGGACGAGGTTCATCATATGCCAGCGGACAACACCATCCCCATAAATCAGCTAATACATAAACTCAACAACAAAAATAAAATAACCTATTCAAGAGTAGATCAAAAGAATCTTTGGAACACATCTGAGAATAACAGCCAGTCCACAATCATATCCATGTTTCAGCACAGATCTTTTCAATACTTCATTCTTTTGAAAAAAATCACTTTCCTTCCAAATCCCCCCATATAAAATTAGATGCAAGTCAAAAATATTTTGCCTTTCTTCTTCCTTTATTTGCATGGCCAATCAGAAAGTTTCCCTTACGACTATATTGAAGCAACAATTGCACCCAAGACGATGAAAAGAAGAATCTCCACAGAAATGCCTTCTTACTGTAGAAAGTGAAAAAGGTGCCTGAAATCTACTCTCTCTACACATGCAGCATAACACTTCCCATTTGAAACCTCCTTTTCTTTAAATTATCTGACATGAGAAATTGAGAATGTTGTCCAAAGTCCAAACCCACAGGGGCTTCTCCCCTTGGAGGAATAACCGAATAGGATTGCCTCAAACCCCCCTATATCAGACCTCTCCACCTGATTGCAAATCAAAGCCTTGCAAACATTGTATATGACAGTGAATCTCCTATTTCTGTACTTCATCTCACATCTTTTATTCGTCCACACGAAAAATAATTAAAAGGTAGATCTTAATCGAGAAAACCTTATTGTCTCTAAAGTTTATGAAGTAAAGCAACTTCACCAGTTCAAAAAGAAGCATTACCATAAGAAGAGCATCATGAAACCTTGAAGTTCACAAGTTTGTCCCAAGGATGTATAACAGAAAAGCACATTTCCCACATTGCTGAATTTGGATGTACATTCTAAAGCATAACTTTCTCAATATTGTTGCATAGTTTTTTTTTTGAGTTAGTGGACAAAATGATATATGCAGAAAATGACATAGACAATGAGTTCAGATCCTCTTAGAGAGCCAATCACAACCTGATACATCTCCTCCCAAGGTATTTTTATCATACACATTCCACTATCTAGGGGTCTGAAAGGAATAAGAAAAAAAAAAAAGAGGTAAAGGGTGCGAAGATGTGGGGCAAACTCTGAGGTAAAGGAAGTTGAATACATACCTTTTTCTAGGTATATTAGTATATGTGGGCTTTAATTTCAGTGTCTAGCTGAAATTAAGTTGGGATCAAGGCTGAGTCTAATTGAGTTGATGGTTCCCTTACCACCATCAGGTTTAGGGTGTTGTTGCCTTGTTGGGTTCAGCTGTTGGTCAGTAATCTAAAAGTTCGGTTTATTCTCAACCAGACCAGTAAATGCCAATACTCTTTTAGCTGTTGCAGTTTTGCAGGACTTTTTTTTTTTTGGTTTTAAGGTAGATCCATCAAGTGGCCAGAATTATGTCTGTTCAGACCTTCAAAAACACATCAAAATGTGCTTGGAGAATCAGTACTGTAATAAGGCCTTATCATGATCAATTCCATGTTTGAGCTGGGCAAGAAACTAGATGAATGGAGTTCACTTTAGGATCATTGGCTGATGGAAAACACATGTTATCACATCGAATTTAAGACTTTCTCATACATAGACGACAGAATCCAGATCTGCTGCACTTTTCCTCCACACTTGCTGCATTATGTAATCAGTGTATGACAGTGACAGGTGTTCATGACTGTAAAACCCAGTTACTCTCACATGTACAGGTCTTTAACATGTGTAATGAAACACTTATGACACATTGATTGTTCAGTGAAACTAGTGCAGGAAAGCAGTAGCTCCTGGCTCTCTAGATCACATGACTTTCTTATACAATATCTGATGAAGGGAAATTTGGTTCGACCTCACAATCACCCGACACGTGGCAAAAGCAAACAACTCGGGACAGCGGAGCGCCCAAAACGAGCACCGAAAGTAATGAAGTCCAAGCTCACTACTAAGCCCGAACTCCACCAGACCGCTCTACTAGGAGCCCGAGCTCCCTACTGAGAACCCGAGCTCCCTGCAAGGAGCACGAACTACCTCGGGTCCCAAGCCTCGCAAAGCTGTGACCCGAGCTGACCCATGGCAGTTCGGAACACTCCCCAAACCGA